AGAAAGTTCATAATGAGAAGAACTTATCTGAAGAGGAAGAAGAAGTTCATAATGAGAAGAACTTGTTCAACCTTTAGCTAGAATCTATCACAGAAAGAGATAGATCAGCATACACTTTTCCAGAGAAAGTTCATAATGAGAAGAACTTATCTGAAGAGGAAGAGGAAGAAGAAGTTCATAATGAGAAGAACTTGTTCAACCTTTTGCTCGACGCTATCACAGAAGAAGATAGATTAGCATCATTTCCAGAGAGAGTTCATAATAAGAAGAATCTGAAGAGGGAGAAGAAAATCCATAATGAGAAGAATTTGTTCAACATTGCCTTAATTCCAATATGCGAATTAACAACCCCTCTTTCGAAGATCAACATTTCTAGAAGGAGTTCATAATGAGAAGAAATCATCTGAAAAAAGAAGAAGAAGAAGTTCATAATGAGAAGAATTTGTTCAACTTTTTGCTAGATTATATCACAGAAGGAGATAAATTATCATCCCCAGTAGAAAAGTTCATAATGAGAAGAACTAATCCCAAAGAAGAATATGAAGTTCATAATGAGAAGAATTTGTTCAACATTTCCATCCTAATCAAGTGAAGTCAAATGAAAAAAAAAACTTATTGTCTTTTCGTTTTTGCCCTATTCTCGTTAACACAAGAATGAGCAAAGAGGGGCAGTTGAAGACACTAGTTTTTTTCTATTTGGGGTTTTTTATTTTTAATTTTATTATTTTATTTATTACTATTATTATTATTATTATTATAGGCCTAAACCAGATCGGCCCAGTTACAAGAGCCCAACCCAGACCGGCCCAACAAAAACTCTAAACTTATTTAGGGTTTTTATCTCATGCCCAACCGTCGCTCCTTTCCACCGTTGGATCTGGCTTAGATCCAACGGTCTAGATGGCTCCAGCAAGAAACCCTAGGGTTATGATACCCTAGGGCCACGCGGTCGCCAGCGCTCCACGTTGTTCCAGCCGCTGCCACGACGTTCTCCAAAGCCTCCAGAATCTTCAACGCCGACCGTCCACATTAAAGGCTACAATGAGTCACCACTATAGTTTGGTGACTCGCCAAACTTCACCCCTTTTACCCGGTTCGAGGCAAGCACCGATGATGGCTATAAAAGCCATCGACCGAACCTACAAGAAAGATAGAGCAACACAACAACTAAAAACCACCAAAATATTGAGACAAAAATTAAGAGAAACCTTACCGAAAGCTGCGACACCACCAGAGTTCCCACGCGCCCATATGTGCCACCGTTGAAGCCGAAATACCGAAGATATTTCTTTATATCTACGAAAATCTAAGGATATTTAGGGGAAACAAAGGTTAGAATCGACCTTAGGATAGTCAGATCTATCATTCGGGAAAGTTTTGTGTTTTTCGACCACCGGCGATCAGATTCCCTCTGGTGAGGGAATCCTAGAGAGAAGGGGGAGAGTTCTCATCTCTCATTTAGAGAGAGAATAAGAAGAGAAGAAATGAAAAATAAGGCCTTAAGGCCGGTTATAATAGGGTATAATGAGGGTCTTTGTGTAATTTTGCGTACGAGTTAACTGTACCTGTAGCCATTGTAATTTTAAAACTTTGCAATTTGATCCTTAAAGCATGTTTTTATTTATTATAATTTGGTATTCGAATTTTAGTTTATTATAATTTAATCCTTAAAATAATTATATATATTTTAGGGTGAATAACCGATTTAGCCCCTATAATTTATTAATTAATATTTTATTTTAATTTGATGCTCAAATTTTATATATGTTATTTCAGTCACTAAATTAATAATACTTATATATATAGGTAAAATAGCATGTTTAGCCTCTATAATTTTAAATAAACATTATTTAATTAAGGATAAATTACATTATCACTTAGATCTTATAATATTACGAATTAGGGCATTTAATTTTAACATGTTAATTTAATCACTAATTTTACTTTCATTTATTTTTAACTATAAGTTTTACTTTTTATTTTAATACTATAGTTTTAATTTTTTTTTTTAGTCACTTTAGTTATTTTAATTTAATGTTATTCTTTAAATTTCAATATGTTTAATAATATGTTTAATTATATTTTATTTTATTTTAGTCATATTAATATATATTATTTGATTAATTTTATAAATTAATATTTATTATTATTATATTAAGAAAGAGCAGTCTTAAAATAACTAGATTTTCTGGTATTTAAAAAAATATCATGTTATAAAAAAAATACATATTTGCTTTTATTTTATAAATTATTTTAATCATGTTTTTAATATTTATTTTTTTTTAATATTAAGAAATGTGTTGTCTTAAGAAAACTAGATGTTTATTTCTGATATTTAAGTAAAAATATCTTATTAATATTATATTATGATATAAATATATAATTATTTTCTAAATTATAGTAATAAATTTGAAATAACCAGATTATGAATTAAATATTTTTTTCTTAAATTTCCAATATAGACAATTTATAATTAATGAGTACTAATTTGTGCGTTATAGGGGTGCTAATCATTCCCTAAACGTAACCGACACAAATCCTTTTTTACTAAATTTTTTCGCACATCAATTTATTTTTTTTGTTTTTAAAAACTATTTTAAAAGATTGTTTTTAAGTATTTGACCTACCTAACCCAAAATGGTCAATGACGACTCCCAAAACATTTTTAAAATCAAAATCATTTATTTATTCATTTTACTTTTCCCGCCAAGTAAAAATTCGTACTCAGAAAAAAACCGGTTACGACAGTTGGCTTATATTTTATTATGTCAAATACATATTCAATTAATCAAATGATTTCAAATAAAAATATGTTCTCCTATGTACGTTCATCAATAAATTTATCTATTTCATTTATTAATTCGTTTATTTAAACAACTACTTTCTTATATAAATACTTCAAATATTTTTATTTATTTGTTATTTTTAATATAATTTTTAGTTGTTATTTTTTTATAACCTTAACCGTAAATTAAACATATAATAATTATTTTTCTATAATCAACTTCATATCATTAAGGACCATACAAAAATAAATGTTAAAAAATCTAACCAAATAAATTCGAATAAATAATAGATATAAATAGATCTGATCATATCCAAATAAACTCAGTTTAAATTATTTTAAATAAATATAAACAAACTGTTTTTGGATGTTTAGGAAGGCCATTACCCTGGATCTTCATCTTCTTCCATTGAAAAGGCAAAGTTCAACGCTTTCAATTTGTATAATTGTTGACACCGAAAATTGTTAGGTGAAGCTCGGTTGATATCTACTATTATTTAATTCTTTAACTGAGCTTGATATCAACAATTATTTGATTATTAATTCAATTAAAAAATTATAATATTTATCATTATTTACAAAGTACATAAAATATTATTGTAAGGATGATGTTGTCTTTCAAACTTTTATAAATCTTTAATAAAATTATTAAAACTCATTACTTGAATTAAAATATATGACTACAATTTTTAAATTCTAGTCTTTAAATATTACTCGGATTGAAATTTACTATATGGGTGTTTTTGATTAATCTTTAGAAATATATAGTTGTGATTTTCTTATGATAAATTACTATTGTATGCAATATTAAGCTTTATGTTGGAATGATTTAAGATATCGACTTTGCATTAGATTTTTTTAAAAAATTATAATTGTATCTTTTATAAGCTTAAATTTATTTATTAATATTGACAAGAAATTTAATATTTATTTACATATTTTAATTGTTAGTGTGATTTTTTTCTTATATTTTACATATTACATTCTTATAATAGCAAAAAGATTAGTTGTATTCTTTTGAATTAGAAGGTGATCTCAAGTCAATGATTTAAGTACGAACAGTTCTACATTATAGAGGTCTTGATATATCTCTTGAAACAAGTTGGATGTCAGACGGTACATAATTAAGCAATGAAACTCGATAGTGATCAAAAGCGGACTTCACTAATCAGTCAACCACCGTGTTACATTCTCGTGGGATCCAAAGAAACTCCATAAATCAAACTTGATTTGAATAGAAAAAATGACTTTTATTAATGGGAAAGGACTGAAGTCTACACTCGAGGTAAGAATTAACTTCACGGTTTCCACACAGTCCAATTATACTAGGAGACGTTCAAAACCGTAAAGACAAATGTAGAGGCTCTACAATTCATTTTGGAGAGAGTTTAGGGTTTATGTTTTTTATATCAAATTTTATGTTTAATTATTTTTAACTTTAAACATATTAAAACAAACATTATCAATAACTATGAAAAGGAATGAGTTAATTATTAAAATTTATTTGATTCTTTTTAGCTGTTATTATTTTAATTGTTTTGTGACAATCTTGTATACGATGATATTATACATTAAGCTGTCAAATTTTAAAATTAAATAGTATTAAATTTTTTACTGTTTCATTTTTAAAAAAAAATTAAAACAAACATTATCAATAACTATGAAAAGGAATGAGTTAATTATTAAAATTTATTTGATTCTTTTTAGCTGTTATTATTTTAATTGTTTTGTGACAATCTTGTATACGATGATATTATACATTAAGCTGTCAAATTTTAAAATTAAATAGTATTAAATTTTTTACTGTTTCATTTTTAAAAAAAATTTAACCTCAGAACCAGAATTTCCTGATTCAAGTCCTCTTTGATAAGCATTTTCGATCACGTCACGTTTATTACAATTAGAGATGATGGAGGAGAAGGTGATTCATGAATGTGCAGCTAAATGTACTAACCAGAGGCACAGGTCCGCCGCCACATGTTCCGACTTGCAGACGCAGACCATCATCTTCTACTTGAACAAACTCCTCAAAAGCTTGGTTGCACAAAAATGGAACAAGAAAATTAAGGCAAAAATGCATCTTCATTTCCTCTTACATGAACTTAGATTACTACAACTTTTCGAAACACACAAGCCAACAAGATTCTTATCTTGCAAGACAAACAACTAGCAGGAAAATTCTTGATGTGCAATGTCTTTCTTCTTGTCCCTTCAAACTTGAATTATGGTCTATGGCAAACACATTTGTAGCGGTATGCACTGTTGATCGTGTTGTTCCCTTCGATCGGAACTTGTTCGGCTCGACATTTGTATTTGCATCCTCTACATTTATTGTAAGTGCAGGTAGGCGATGTGGATCCAATCATCAATCTCCTTGAATGTCTATCCATCTTCGGTTCATTGCTACCCTTTTTTGTTTTAAGAAATGTTGCAGTTTAGAAAAAAGTCTGGAAAGTGAAATCAAAATGCTGGGATTTTGTAATCATTACCTGCAACTCCCATGGATGCGAGAAAGAGACGCTTTGTTGGCAAGGAAGTATTACTTGAGTTGTTTTAGATCCTGCAAAATTGGTACCATAAGCAAGAAAAAAAATGCAACATTTATTATAAAGGGGTGATCTTGACCTTGAATTGCATGTGCTGCAAGGAAGAATATGAAGAACAGAATGTTTAAATAGGTTAGATTAAGGTTGGCCATTGTTTCTCCTCTGGAACTGCCAAGTTATAAGATTGATATAATATGAATGAAGTTGCAGGGCAGTATATATATATATATATATGAGAGGATAAAACGAGAGACAGAGAAGACGGTAAAAAAAGAGTTGCGGTGAATTAAAGGGCATGAGAGGATAGAGCGGACACATGAGACTTCTGGAGTTACAAAAATGCCCCAACATCTCTTAATTAGTTTGTCATATTGAATTCGAGTGGTCTCTTCTGCCAGTACTCAGGTAATTGAAGTTATCCTGTGTCTGGTATGCCTAATTGGTGTTGCAGAGGAGTAATTCAAATTTGTATGCAGATGGATATTGGATAAATGTTGAGATGACTTGAAGTTTATGTTGAATATACGGCATCGAGTTATTAGGACAAGATTTCGTATGGATAAACAGTGGAAATTTTGAGAAAGTTAAACCTGGATAACATGTAATACCAACATATCTAGTGGTTTCATCTGACAACAAGTTTCTGAGACCAGATGCTACTACTTTGGTTACAATCCAAGGAACATGGGACTCCTTCGTGAAATAATTCACACTATTTTTTTAGGGTAAATTATACCATTGACCACCTAACTATTTACCCCTTTAACCAATAATTTCTCAATTTTATCAATCAGCTCACCTAATTATTTAAATTTTGTCAATCAAGCCACATGCCGTTAAATATTAACAAAGAAGATGATATGACATTTAATAAAATTTGTATAGTTATACATTTAGTCTTCATTACTTACACATTCTATTAATTTGGTTCTAACTTTTAATTAATTTAATAAATTTAATCCTCAGTCAAATGGTGACAGTGATTGGATTTTTTCTTAATAGTTTTATTTAATTTAATAAATTTTCCATCAAATCAAATGGTGACACATGTCACCAATTAAATGAATAGAAAATAAATTAAATCAATAACCAGTATTGGTGGGGTTTAAACCCAAGACGTGAGGATATGAGGAAAATGCCTCAATCATTGGGCTGCACCATTCAAATAACAAATTTATCAAGACATAATATATATAGTTAATGGCAATAAGAAAAGAGAAAATGACCTAGTAAGAACTCCAACAAAGATTAATTGAATAATACGATAATATTATATATATATATATACACACACACATATTATAATCGATTAATATGTGAATGTATTTTGTTTATATTTTAAATTATTTTAATAAAAAAACAAAAAATTATATTATAATTGAAATATAACGAAGAACTTCGTTGACTTAGAATTTTCCTGATGGTTGAGGGCTTATCGTAGTAAGCATTTTAACTTATGAATTGACTTGTTTATATCCCAGTTAGAGTAAGAATTTTATATTTTATTATTTATTCATTATATATTTGAAGCAAATTTTAGGGGAACTTGATTTTATTGAATTACTCTATTTTAATATAGAGTTGTTAAATAAGATTAGAATCCGATCGACATTATAATATTTTAAAATATAAGTTATGATACATTTCAGTTAAATAAAATTAGAATAATCAAGACAATTTATTAACTTAAAATATGTAAAATGATACATTTCAATTATAACATCTTAAATTCACTTTTATTTTAATTTTTGCATTAAATGCTATTTAAAATATAAATAAAATATATTCATTTATTAATCAATTATAATATTTGTTTATATATATTTTATACTACTCAATTATTTTATGTTTGAGTCCTTATAAGGTCATTTATTACCATTAACTATATTATACATTATATATTATGTTATGTATACTAGACAAGTTTAGTGGTTAGGCACTGAGATTTTCGGCTTGCATCCTAGGTTCAAACCCCACCAATAGTGGTTATTGATTTAATTTATTTTCTATTCATTTAATTGGTGACACATGACACCATTTGATTTGATAGAAAATTTATTAAATTAAATAAAAATATTAAGAAAAAATCAATCCCATAGTGACACGTGTCACCATTTGATTGAGGATTAAATTTATTGAATTAAATAAAGTTAGAACCAGATTAATAGAATGTGTAAATAATGAAGACTAAAAGTGTAATTATACAAATTTTATTAAATGTCACGTCATCTCTTCCGTTAAAATATTAACGGCATGTGACTTGATTAACAATATTTAAATAGTTAGGTGACCCGATTGATAAAATTGAAAAATCGATGGTTAAAGTAAAATGGGTAAATAGTTAGGTAATCAATGGTATAATTTATCCTAAAATCTAATGTTTTATAAATATTGTATTTTAATTAAATTACATATAGATTTTTAATTAATTTATAATTATATGTTCAATACTTTATAATTTAACGTTTTATAAATTACTTTAATGATGTTCATCATTAACATTGCTTATCCGTACTCATCAAGCGCGACAACATCGTCCTTGTTTCAATCACTAACATTGTTTAAAAATTAATCATGTCATAAAAAAGAAAAGAAAAGAAGAAGAAGTCATCGTCAGATGCAGATGACTCTTCAAGTCATCAATACTACAAGACAATGTTGATGAATTTTAAAAACAACAAAAGTTTATTATATTAGATGACAATTCCATAAAATAAATGAATACATGAAAAACATTTTTTTAAGAGAAAATAACCTCAGTGACCGAAAATGTGTTTCCAATACAATGTGGGATTGAGCATTGTAAGTTGCATGCATTGACTATAAATGCAAGAGCAAGACTTTTATCTTGAATGAATGAACATCGGCAATGGAAGGTCGATGATTATTGGTTAATAAATCACAACGCTTTTTATTGCATATTGAAATATTCCTCAATCTTCATGTTCCATGGATATGCTCACGCCTGCAGACACTTGAAAATAAAAATAGGTTTTTGGGTGAAGTAGATTGTTTCTCTAATATGTATTCTAGGCCCTTTTTGTGCTACACGATCTAGAATACTCTCATGTCTTCTGATATCTTGAAGAGTTCCATAGTTTGCGTTCAAGCATGAGTGAATATGATGATAATGTAACGTTAACGAGATTCAGGTGCCATAGGAAAGATGGAACCAAGAGAAATGGAGGAAAATTACTGGAATTGATGATTACTAGATTTTGAATAGAAGCACCATTTTAAGTTGAAATTTCAAAAACTTAATCATGCACTGTAGTGGAAAGTGGAAAGTTGTAGAAGGAAGATCATTGACATTGATTTATGATAAATTTATAGTAGTAACATTGGAGCAGATTGCACAATCTGTAGCAAAAAGAGGCATAAAATTTTCATTATAATCTACAAAGTCTCCAAAATCTATAGTCAATGCATGTAAGTTACAATGCACAATCCCACATAGTATTGGAAACACTATTGGGAATGGGTATTTAAGGCTTGGATTTTCCACTTCCTTGTTGAGTGAAAGAGAACAAAGGAGACTCTCGCGCGCCGCCGCTGCCGCTGCCGTCTCGTCTCGGGTCGTGGTCGTGGTCATACGTGTCTTCGACATGTCCGCGCGGATACCATCTTTTTAGAGAAAATTCTTAAGAAACAAATGCAATGGAAAATCGCAACGCTAATTTGGAAACTGAGTTGCGAAGTTGGAGTTCGCGTTGCGATTTTGTTGGTCATTTTGGCAAATCCAAAAAAAGTTGGTTAAAATCGTATATTATAAGACATTTTCGGTCACTGAGGTTATTTTCTCTTTTTTTAATGTGTTCAAATAATTAAAAAGTATCTTGAATTTGATTTTGTGTGGATAGGAAATTTAGGACGATAAATGTGCATAATTCCTAACTATGCTATGGAGTGTCTTTACAAATCAGTGTTTCAATATTCTTAGTAGAGATACCGTTTATAAATTTGTCTCACATAGATTGATATGTAATAATATTGGTGGAAACAAGTTGCATCTTTAATTGTAACTATTTTAGAGATTAATTTATTGAGTATAATGTAAAAATAAATTATTTTATTTCAATTGATATATTTTATTTATATTTACAGAATCATTTCAGTATTTTTGTAGAAAATCCAGAGATACCGGGGTTCGATTCCCCGGATGCGCATTAAAAGCTTCAAAAAAAATTTCTATTCTACTTACAAAGTATAATAAATCTTGCCTTCCTTTTTTAAGGTTTTACAGTTAACCATTTCGTCTATTCACCCTATTTTTTTCGAATCTGTTTACTATTTCAAAGTTATTTTACATGGTTGGCCTTTGTTTGGAAAATTTGTTATTAAGAAGAAATGGCGGTCCCTTTGCTGTCGAAGAAGATTGAGAAGAAGCTTGTCAAGAAGTTCAAGAGGCCCAAAGTGAGCGCAAGATCTCCGCCAAGGTTTTATTTATTTATTATTATTTAGAAAACATGTTCTTTTATTATTATGTGAATGCTAGAATTTGTCCCTGGGGATGCTAGTGACACTGGAGATATCCTATTCATCTGGAGTCTATACTCCCCGGGTGACTACAGTCTCATTAATAAACCTCTGACAGTCTCATTCTAGTAGTCATCATCTATGTAGCAAGGGTACGGTAATTCAGAGTCATACCAAATATCCGATACATTCCCAATATGAATACGAGGGCTGGAGCTTCTCATGATACACAACAGGTATAATACCCTTCTTTCCTCCAATTCTGTCCACGATGATCTTCTTGCTTGTCGCCGATCATTGATGCATATATTTAGGACATAATGTGCTGAGATAGGCCATGATGTTTCGACAAAGAAGAGGTAGGAAATTGTGGAGCAGCGGCACAGTTGGATGTTGTTGTGACCAGCGAATTGGCTAGATTGCGCAGCCAGGAGGATGAGTGGACATCCCTCTCGCATTGTTGATTTTGCTTTTTTGGTGTAATGTTTAATCGTTTAGGGATTTTTGCTGCAATTTGGATGAAATGAATTCATGTGTTATTTTGACTCGTTTTAGTGGTCCCTGTGATTGAATCTAAACACCTTAATCAATTTAGTGTATGCTTGGTTTTCATAATTATTGGCACGACCATGTTAATATCAATAAGCCGAACCGGCAATGGTGTATCAGTGGTATG